CTGCAAGCGATTTTTAGATGGATGTACACCATGATCATTAGAGCGATTATTACGCATTAGATGTTGGGTTTCTTTGAAGGAATCGAAACTTCGGGAGTTTTTCAGCGATTGAGACTTCAACGACTTGTCTGCAGCGCTAACGTGCCCGACGGGCGCACTGGAGGTAATGCTAGAACCTCATATCACTTCACCTAGTAATCCATGAAGCAGCCATACACACAATGCTTCAAATTACAGTCAAAGACGGTCTCACAGCGAGAAGGTAATCTCGTTCCAAAAAATGAAGACACTAAGCGGTGAAATACCATTCTCTCTTCTCCTAAGGGACAGCACTATCAAAATGATAAACTTAAATAGGCAGTTACCTCGCTTATCTTGGAATGATTCTACGTTTGACATACTGCTTAGGGGTAGTGCAATCAAGTTGTACACCGACGACTCGAAAATAACGCAGCAGTCGCAGAATCAAACTCTTCATACCTATGGAAAGTTTTCCGAGTATCTGCCAAGCAAAGGTTTTTGCTATCAGTCGGTGAAAGTATTGCCATACGCAGCGATAGCCAAGCGGAATTTGCGGTCTCTACTTAGGAGTATATAGAACGGCTGATAATCCTACCAGGTCGAGATCAAGTGCACTTTATCTGAGTGCCAGATCGCAAGGGTATAGCCGGGAATGAACTGCCTGCTGAGATTGCTCCGCTTTCCAGCTCTCACTAGAATGGTTAGATCGTAACCCTGTATTGCGGTGGCTAATGTTATAATGAAGGAGCTGCTCCGAAAGGAGGAAAGAGTAAGCACGGAGAAGTGCTTGCAACAACTCCAAGGCATTCATTAGGGCAAATTGCTAATTGGTGGTTCAAGGTTTAAAAAGGTAAGCAACGTTTCGAAAAACGAATTCCCGCTACTGGGCCATTGTAAGCTCAATAAACAATTATTCAACATGAACCTAGCTTCTTATGCACACTGCCGGTTCTATTACATGGACCACATAAGTCTAACCTTTCTGCCTTCAAGCGATAAGTTCCTGAGTTCGGGCAGGAACCTTCTTCTGGTGAACAGGCGTTTCCGACGGGTTGATGTTTAAACTAACCTTACTGGATACTATATAGTACATCGTTTAAGTTTTTTTTTTTTTGTATATTGTTCGAAAGGAGGATTTCAAAAGATTTTTTTTTTCGAAATGTAGAAGTACTAAGCTCTGGTAGGAGCTCTCAGAAACTCTTTATTTTGCTTGAATAGATTCAAAGCACAATTGAGAGCCTATTATGATGGAGCTTCCGAAAAGCAATATTAAAGGCTTGAACGATCATATTTTTGAATAATTTTCAAACTCAATGAGAACAGATCCATTTGCTTAGGAGAAGTAAATATGAGAGCAATCTATATCTCTTAATATAAATATATGTTTACTTGTATATGTATAAGTATGTACGTAGATAAATAATACTGTATTATAAAGCTAAACGAGGGTTCCAAAAGGTGGTGGGCGCAATAACCAGTATATAACCGGTATAAATACATACATATATGTTCTACATTAAAAAAATTAAAAAATCCTGCATCAAAAATTGAAAAGCAAACAGCAGCACACGCGCTGACCAACAGCTATAAACATACATATGTATATGTTAGTATAATATACATATAAGTACATTCATATGTATGTGTGTATGAGTATATCTTCATTGTTGTTAAAAGAGATAGCGGCACAGCTAGCCTTCACGCTTTAATTAACTGCAAACGACGCACGACGGTGACGACAAATGTCATGCCTTTGTGCGAATGTCAAATTGAAAGCCAAAACGCAAAACACACACTCACACACGCGTACATGGTTATGGCAAAACACGCATTGTCCGGAAACAAAGCGAAATGCACAGGAGTAGCAGCAATGGGTCGGCCATTGCAAAAAGTTTCAGTATCACTAATATTGTTGTTGTTGGTGGTGGTGTTGTTGTTGTTGTTCTTGCATTACAGACATTACTCACATGGCAAACGGCAGCTGCTTCGTTAGCGCTCGCATTGAAGTGATCGAATGAAGGACATTACACGTTTACAACCAAACCCTCTATAAAATCCACATACATATATATATTTGTTGTTGATAAATTTTCAACGTACAAAATACCAACAAGCCTGCACGCATTGCAACAATGTAGTAGAGAGCGACCGGCTGTAAGAGAGGGTCGTGCGGGCAAAGTGGGACATCGGCCACAGTAATAAACAATCGGTAGCCAATCAACGCTGCCGAAAGCAAGTAAACTAGTCGCTATAATTCGCATTGTGTACACCGCTTCACCCGCCAGTTTCCACTACAGCATATCGGTGGCTTGACTGCTTTTTGCCGACCCAAGTGCAGTTAAGTTCGTTGTGGAGCTGAGTAGGCGTGGCTCTTTAGCCATTGCACTCCATTCAACTAGCGCTGATTATCTACAAAAGAACACTTGAGCAGACTGCGCATGCACAACAACAATAACATGCCAAGCAACTGCTAATGCAATACAATGATATGCTGTGAGCAAATGAGTGGATCAAAAGCTTAAGTAAGCTCGCGCACTCTCTCACTTAGCATTTTAAGCAGTGTTGTGTTTTGGTTTTATACAAAACTCGCATTTTCTTGTTAGAAAGTCACACCAAAAGCAGACAGCGAAGGCTATAAGAACATATCTTGGTCGAAACTTGATTTTATCATAGAAAAAGCTGGTAACAACAGATCTGGATCTTTTTATTAGCATATAAGAACTTTGTCATCTTATAAAATCATATCAAAGAGAGAAAACAGCAGAAAACGAAGGCTATATGAATATATCTTGGTCTAATAATTTACTTTCTCGAAGAATAATCAAACTTATTCAATCATTAAACGCTGGAAGCAAGGGATCTTGTATTCCCAGTTAAATAAATGTCGCTGGCTCTCTATTTTCCATCCTATCCGCTTTTGCGAACACTTCTCATCACATTGCATCACATTACAAAAAAATAATCTATTTTCATTAAAGGAACCAATTGTGGTCTCTAAGTTTCTTCCACGATGTGACGTTGAAGCTCGAAACAAAAGACTTTCATAGAAGAAACTAGTATGGGTCTCTCAAATTTCTGCTTGATGGTATGTATGTCGAACCAATCGCTAATGATGAGCTCTACCAAATTGTTTAAGAAACCCATTTAAAATAAAAACTTATTCCATAAACATACTAAACATGCGTAAGAGAATGAGAGAGAGCCGTTGATAGTTTACTCAAAGAAATCACTAGTATCTAACCTGCATTTAACATATAAAGAGCGGCGCTAAGGGGTCATAAATAGTTTTCTGAAAGTTTTTCGGATTGCCAGATTCTAAAGAAGACCTCGGAAAGATATTTTTGTACAACTAAAACAGATTAAAATAAAAATTCTTTGAGAATACTTATTTGAAATGAGAGGGCATACGAGAGTTAACTGGGTGTGTGAAAGAATAAGAGCAAAGTCAGTAACAGTTTGTTCAACGAAAGCAGCATAGACTGGTTTCAAGGGTTCATAAATTGTTCCTTGATAGTTTTCGGGTCTGCCAAATTCTAAAGAAGCTCTCTGGAAGATATATTTGCCAAATGGAAACATTTTGAGCTAAAAATTTTTACAGGATGGTTACTTTAAACGCGAGCGAAAACGAGAGCTAACTGAGTGTACGTGTTAGTGAGAGAGAGAGAGAGAGGGAGAGACAAAGTCAGTGACAGTTTGTCCAATGGAAGCATAGGAGCAGCATAGATTATATACCGGTTTTAAGCCGACAAATAGTTTCCTGAAAGTTTTAGGGTCCTCGAGATTCGAATAAGAGTCTTAAGAAGATATATTAACATACAATTTTTCTCAATTTTTTGAAAGCAAGAAACTTAACACAAATATAATGTATAAAATAAAATCTCGTATTAAATATATATTATTCTTACACTAAAAATTTGGTATGGGAAACGTCCTGTTACTTTCTAGAACTCAAACACATCTATTAAGGAACCACACTACACAATAAATAAAAAACAGAATATTTTATTCTTCCTCCTCCTTCAAATAAATAATAAATTAAAAATGAAATTCGCTAATCCTTTTTTTTAATAAAAAAAAAAATAATAATAATAATAATTTCGCTCTCTGCTTTATAATTTGGTATGATATTATTTTATAGTCAACGCGCCGCAGCCACAGCACTGTGCGCTACAACAAATGAGCGGCTGTGCAACGCGCTCTTCAACTAGCGCTCGCTTAACAACGCGCTCACTACCATTTGGCCGCGCCTCACTTTTGATCGTTGCCATTGCTAGCTGCTATTGTGGCGCGCAAASAAACGCAAACACAAATAAACGCACACAACAAACCACCACAAACGCCGTCAACGTCACTATGCTTTTGTTCCTAGTTTCCCTCTCATTAATACAGCGAACGCGACTTTGATATCAAACCGGTTAGTTACAGCTACCCGTTCTCTGAGGCGTATGGTTAGTTTTGTTCAGCGTGCAACAACACATATATTGACCCATTAACGATGGCCCGCCTCCTTTCACACACACACACATACAAAATACTGCTTTCATCAGCACGCTGGGGTAAATATTGTTGTTGTTGCTTATTGAAACGTTTGCGCCAAGTATTGCTTTAACACAACCACCAACATATACAACCACAGCAAGCATAACAACAACAAGCGCACACTAATGCACCAGTTGTATTCAAACAAAAGCGGCGCGGCGATTCGCCAGCGCGGGGTTCTGCTTATTATTAACACTAGCGCTTGTTTTTGTAGCTTTTTTTTGTTTGTACGTTTTTCCTGCCTATTTGTTGTTGTTTGCTTAATTTTATTTCATATGTATTTGTTGTTGTCGCCACCGTTCATATTTTTTTTTGTCTGCGCCGCGCAAACCAGTTCCGGGCTGTGGCTGTTGATCGCGCGCGCGTTTCAACTTTTGCGYGCAACGCGACTTCGTTAATTTATGCTCGCGCGCTCTTTTAGTTGTGTACCGAATGTCGCGCGGCCTGATCGCCCTGTTTGTGACGCGAGTTACTCCATCCAACCCAACGTAAACGGCATTATTTGGCGTATTTTCTTGTGCAACGGCAAACGAATTGGACCGCAAAGCGGGCGTTTAAGACCAGTTCGCCGCTTGTGTGGACTTCCGTCGGATGTTGTGTATTTGTGCAAACGCGCGCGCGCTTCGAATAGTACGTGTTTTGTGCGCGACTACGTCGATTGTTATTGTATTACTTTAAAGGGCAGCTGGCGCACCTCTTGAACTGTTTGCGCCCCACTCCATTAATAAGCGTTTACCGGCGCGGTGTAATAATGTACATTAAGGCGCCAAAATGTTTAGCAAAATAAATGATTTTTAACTGAAATTTATGTGTGTTTGAAAATGAACATTTCTATCAAAAATTTCAACAAAGTGTGACTAGTAACAGTGCGCATTGATTAGTTGGAATATCAAGTAATAAACCGAGTGCAATTTAGACCAAAAACCAAAGTGTTGATTTCATATGAAATATATTGTTTTTTTTATCGAAATTTATTTATGCAAAACTTTATATATCACACTACATTAAGTTCCTATAAGACCCTGAGTACTACATATTTTCCTAAAAATGGATATGACCAGCGCAAATTCGTTAAATATGCGACCCTTTTTCTCCGGATATCCATTCCAAGGTAAATTAATTCTGTATTTCTAATTTTTTTTCGTATAAAAAATTCTTAAAAGTTCCAATTGCTTCATTGTGATACACTTTCCCTTAAAAAAGTCCAGCGAAACTCAATACTATTGGGTGGTCGAAAAAGTCTGCTTTGTGTTGTTGTGTTTCTTATCAAACTTCAACTTTTCTTCCTTTATATTCATAATGAACTTTAATGAAACGAATATGTACCAATTTGGCCGACCATTTTTTGTCGTTTTTCCACCGAAATTATTACGGGATATTATTCCATCAGTGTAAAACTTGTCTGGTTTCTCGGCGAAAACCTGCGACAAGTAATTTTCACAGGCTTCTCTTTAAGCCAACTTTACTTCATTAAAGGAGTTCTTCATTGACCGGAACAAATTGTAGTCCGATGATGCAAGATCAGGGCTATATATTGGATGCATCAAAACTTTCCGACCAAGCTCTCACAGTTTTTGCCGAGTCATCAAAGGTGTGTGTGGTGTGACGTTGTTCTGATTGGAGACGAAGCCCGTTCTGTTGATCAGTTCTGGCCGTTTTTTTCGATGCTTCAATCTCATCAGGTATTAAAATGTAGAATCAACCGTTCATAGTGGATGATTCCTATACAATCTCACCAAAAACTCGGTATAACCTTTCGAGGTGTCAATCCCGGCTTTGCGACCATTTGTGGAGGTTCACTACGCTTTGACCATGATCTTTCCGCACATTATTGTCGTATTTGATTCGGTTTTCGACTCTTGTTACCATTCGCTTCATAAATGGTTCGATTTCATTTTGTTTCAACAAAGAATCGCTGATGTTAATTCGGTCCATTAAATTTTTCACAGACAATCCATGCGGTACCCAAATATCGAGCTTCGTTTTGCAGCTAGCCTTTTTTAAATGGTTCAAAACCGTTTGATGATGAATGTTAAGTTCCTTAGCGATGTCATGGATTCCTATGTGACCCTCCTGGTTAAACTGTTCCATAATTTTATCGACTTTTTTAACGATAGGTCGATCAGAGTGAGGTGCATCTTTCGCATCGAATATCCAGAACGGAAGCGAGCGAACCATTCTTGAGCAACACGAACTGATACAGAATCGTCTTCCCTTCTTTACACTTTAAGTACTTAAAAATGCGAATGCTAAACAATCTAGCACTGACCAACCTAAAAAACTCAGCAAGCTAATCAATACAACTTCTGCTCTATCTACAGGTCAGGGCCGTGTCAATCAACTCGGCGGTGTCTTCATCAACGGTCGACCGCTACCGAATCATATACGTTTGAAAATTGTCGAAATGGCCGCTAACGGCATAAGACCTTGTGTGATCTCACGTCAGCTACGCGTCTCGCATGGTTGTGTATCGAAAATATTAAATCGTTACCAGGAAACCGGTTCAATACGACCGGGTGTGATAGGCGGTTCTAAACCGAAAGTTACGTCGCCGGAAATCGAGGCGCGCATTGAGGAGTTGCGTAAGGCCAATCCGGGCATATTCAGTTGGGAGATACGTGAGAAGCTGATCAAGGTGAGTAAATGTTTAGAAGCACTTAATAAAAACGTAAGAGAATGAATTGCTTTGTATATAGCTTATGTATTTAAGTTTTGTTGGGGATTCCAAATGATTCGAAGCAATAAAAAATGTAAGTTTGGAGATTGAAATGTGCTAGGCTGGTAGTGCTATACTGCTTTAATATGTAAGTTGATAGGTTTTCTATGAACCCCGTGTTATTTAATTTCCGTTCGAGGAACCGATCAAATCGAAAATTTTGTATTAACACAAAAAGTTTTCCGGTAGCTCAAGATTGATATTAAATGTTTTGGGTTCGAGACTTCAATTATACTAAAGTTCCTTTCTTTGTTCAATAATTTATTTAATGCAATATCAGTTATGTTGGTTTTATATATTATTTATTTACAGTTTGAATTCCATATTGGTTGCTTTTACAATATTTTTACAGCTTTAAATTCTGTCTTCGTCCTGATACGTTCAGCGTATCTCTCTCTTTCAAGAATAAGTCTAAAATTTTTTTATGTGCTCTTTCTTTCTTTTGATCAACCTTTTTCAGATATTTGTATATCTTSTGCAGGATGCAGCTCAAAAAATCTTGCCATCGTTGAGTCAGTGCTTCAGAAATACGAGATCCGAAACGAGCTCTCGACTTCAGGTTAAAAACTTTATGGTTTTGGCAAAGAAAGAAATTCTCGTCATGAATTTTATTAGTATTTTTACAATTGTTGTCGAGTTGTTAGTCATTGGTCAGTTGTATATGTACGTCCGTTTCGGCTATGCAGTCTGAACTATTTTGGAAACTGTCTTTAGATCTCAAGGTCTCTTGCTTTATCTCTCTCTCTTTCTCTTTTTATATATATTTGGACAGAGTTTTTTTTTTATCATTTCATACTCTTTTATTTTGTTTTGCTATCTTAAGATAAATCTTCATTTACAAAGATGCCGACCTACCATAGTAAAAAATATTTTCTTGGCACAATTAATTTTTTTATTCAACATAGTTCCCTTCAAAGCTAATAAGCCGATTATAGTGATTTTTAGATACTATTTCTGTAGTGCAATGCATCCCTTGCTTCAAAATAGGCCTCAATTTCGTCGACTACCTCTTTATTATTCGACGAAAATTTCTTCCCAGCAAGCATTGTTATGAGTTCTGAAATCTGGAAAGAATTGCTGGAGACCAGATCTAGAAAATACGGTGAACCAATTTATGGATTTTTGTCAACGTTTTCAATAACATCTGAAATCCGTTCGTCTGCGATTTCGTCCTTCAAATGGTCCAATAGCGTCCTATAATAGYYGCTGTTGGTGGTCCTTCTTTATTCAAGGTAGTCTAAAAAAATTATTCCATGCGCTTCCCAAAATACRGGACGCCATAAATTTGCCAGTCGGCTGCTGCTTTTTCACGCCTTGGATCGGGTTCATCGTCTGCAGTCCACTCGTATGACTCTCGACTGGACTTGGAAGTAAATTGATGGAGCCATGTTTTATCCATTGTCATATATCGATACAAAAACTTGAGATTTTCAAGCTTAGATATCTCCGAACACTGCTCCAAATCATCAACCCGTCGTTGTTTTTGCTCAAAAAAGAACTCGTGCGACACCTACTTTGCACATAGCTTTCTTATATCCAAACAAAAAATTTTGAACAATATGATGTAAACCTCCAGCTGATATCTTTGGAGCACCTTCTATATCGAACAAGTTCACTTTATGGTTTCCGAAACTATTTTGTGGACTTTTTGATATTTYCRTCGGTRACAACCTCTTTTGGCGTCCATTGTGTTTACCGTCTTCGTTGCTCATTTCACCATGTCCAAACTTAACATTCCAATTCTGGGTGGTTGATTTTCCTGGGGCAGTGTCTGGAAACTCKTSATCAAGCTAAGYCSTYGCTTCCCTTCAAAAAGCAATATTTTTTATACACGGAAAAGTCTTTTTCATTCATCACTCAAAATAATATAATTCTCAAACTAGTAATCTGACAGCTGCCAAACTTATACACGGGATTTCTGAAAGTTAGGGCTTGCTAAAAATTTAGGATTTATTTCCAGTAGCGCCATCTATGTGTCAGATAAGGACCCTTTAAATTGTCTGTTACTCACTGCCCAATATGATGTTTATTTTTGCAATACTTTTTGCTCCCTTCCAACCTAACCTTAATAAAATAAGTTCAAATTAGTTGTGAAAAGTAGTAGTAAGTGTGAAAAGGGGTCCTCACTGTTGCAGTTATCTTAAAAACAGTCGACATAACCTCGTTTGAGCTGAGCATGATAACATTTTCTTGCAAAAATCACCCGAGTCTTCACGCAGTTTGTCATTAGAKACCGCTATAAAACCGGAAGACAATAGACAACAAAGTAATTATATAATTTTCCAAAGTAATGATTAATACGCATTACTTCGTGCAGTCGTAAAAAGTTCCCATGAAGCAATGAAAGCGCAAAACTTTATTTGCGAAAGGGATCTGATATATACAAGCACATTTACGCGCACAAACACCTACAACAACAGTGCAAAAAGGGCGCTTAAGCTTATTTAATATTTATTTTATGGATTTGGTTGCCACGCACTCCCACGACYGGCGGAAGGCGTTAAAAAACGAACGACACAAATTGAAATACTCCCGCGAAAGGGCGTTTGCCCCCAAGGCGGCCGCCGTGTGAGTTGTGGGCACTGTGTTTGCGAATGTTGCGAAAAAGTAGACCGGAAGTGCTGGTCATAATATAACACACACACACGTATTTGTTGTATGCATGTGTCTATAAATATTGACGTTTACTGTTTGCACCTTGCCAGCGCTGTTGCCGACTTTACGCTCTCCGGTGTCGTAGGACGCGTTTCGGTATATAATCGATTACCCAACGCTATCAATGCCTGGAGGCGACAAGCAGATATACACACATCTATATATACAAGTATATATATTCATRTATGTATGCATGTGTATGTAACACATGCGAAATCCAGCATTTGTGTGGTACGTGCGTTTCTTCTGCCTTGCTCTCGTTCTCCRTTTGTGTCGTCTTATTGTCCATACMATGTTTTMTGCTTCTTCTTCTTCTTCGCCGCCGTCTTTGCTCCTTTTTCTTTAATGCTCTTAACGGCGTTGTCGTACATTTTTGTCAATGAGTTCCATTTCGTTTTGTGTGTTTTTGTTGCACGCACCGACGGCAAGGTGGCAAGGCAAACTCGCCAATACGCCGACGCATGTTGTTGTGTCACCCGACAACGTGCCAACAAACAAAGGCAGCGGGTGGCTTACGTCGTATGGTAGGCGGYTATCTTCAAGGACATGCAGCAGCTACAAACACCGGTGAAATTACCGCATGCCACGTGAYTTTTTGGAATTTCGGAAGTCACTCGCTCGTTGCTTGTTCTATCTCAGAGTTGTTACTTTATGCGGTTTCTAGCCACCGCTGATCTTTTGTCCGCCATTGTGTGACATTTAACTGCCTCCATTGTGCGTTTAGTGCAGTGTTTTGCATGTCCTTGCGCTTGTTTATTGCAGTCTCTCGCTGCCTASAAAGTATTTATGGTAGATAACCCCACCACATGCAGTTACTTTGTGCTCTGCTTTGCAAATTAACTGTTTGTCCTTCGTAGCTTCTGTTGGTCATGGCATTTGATTTAATGAAAGCAATTTTGAATTTTTTTAATACCAATTTTATTKCTTCCGGCACACCTGCGCAGTGCGCTTTAGGAAGTGTCCTTGCTAGTGGCGGTGTGCCAAAGGAGTTTTGCATCTGGCGGCACTTTCTCGAAGCATGAGCTCTGATTGGCTGTAAGATTCCAYGGAATATGTCAACAGTGAATTTCCACAGGTCAGTAATAACTTTAAAATTCRMCTATCTTCCGCGCTTTACTGCGGATTGGGGCTAGACTCAGTCCTCAGTCCTTGTCCCGTTAATCGCACTTCTTGGACGACGGTGATGTCAGCCTTTATTTTTACGTGGACATCAACCAGCTGGGCAGCGGCACCTTCCCARTTAAGGTACCGGACATCCCACGTGCATGGACTTAAAAGTATTACTTAATGCGTTTCCCATGGTCATCGGGTTGTTTCCTTTTCATTGGAGACCATTTTTATGTGGGGTCCCACAACCTTGRGGAGGGATGGTTTTTCTTCTCCCTTTAGCTCTGCTTCAATCGAATTTCCTTTAGATACGCAGAGTATATTTTATCTAAGATCCGAGGTCGTGAGCTGCTTGAGGGATATGTAAAAGTTACCGAAGATTCGAGACTATTAGGGTCTTAATTTGACGTCGACTTTGAAATCCTGCTGCATTTTTTACGTCGTATGGAGATCGCCGATTTTGTAATATCAGAAGAAAAGAGACATGAAGCAACAGGAGAATAAAGATCGAGATTCGATCTTCGACCTTCTTCACCTGGTCTTTCCAACGGGGTGGAGKTCTTCCTCTTCCYCTTCCTCTGCTACGCCCGGYGAGTAATGCGTCGAATACTCTCAGAGCTGGAKCATTTTCATCTATTCGGAACAAAAGACCCACCCATCGTAGCCGCTGTTAATTGATTCACTGAACTATGTTAATTTCRTCGTATAACTCGTACAGCTCAYCGTTCSAWCGACTGCRGTACTTGCCGTTACCAATGCGCAAAGGTATCAAAATCAAAAATCATTCGCAGCACCTTTCTCTCGAAAACTTGTAACGACGACTCAACAGTCCCAGTCTCTGTCTTTGCACCATATTGCAGAACGGGGATGAWGAGAGCCTTGTAGAGTTTTGTTCGTCGAGAGAGGACTTTACTGCTCAACTGCCTACTCAGTCCGAARTAGCACCTGTTGACAAGAGTTATTTTGCGTTGGATTTCGAAGCTGAGGATGTTGTTGGATGTTGGATGTTGCCAAGAAAGACGAACTTATCTACGACTTCGAAGTTATGATTGTCAATAGTGACGTAGGAGCCAAATCGAGGACGCGACGACTATTTGTTTGATGACGGGAGACATTTCGTCTTGTCCTGAGCTGTATATATTATAGTAGATTGTACC